GGTGGACCATTTTCATTCCTGATGAATGCTGTTGGGCCTGCGCAATTTATGACTTTGTGGGTCAGAAAGACACTTGGATCACATCATTGCTTGATGTCCTGTGGTCAAGCATTCTATCTAATCAGGACAAGAAACACTAAAAGTTGCTTCTGACAGGGGCCATATGTCTCTGCTGTGGATGACTTGATCTTACTCCAGAATTGAGACCCTCCACTGTGACTCTCCCACTGGTGCTTGGTTCAGCTCCATCCTGCATCTTTCCCTACCACTGGCACCACCAGCACCATGGGATCTGAGGGATGCTGGCTGCTTGCACCGTCACCTGGATCTGCTGCAGGGTCCTTCCCTGTGTAGGCCACACTTGAAGCTGGCCTCCTCCTATGTCACCTAGAGTGTGGGCCAAAGCAACTTACCTAGATGTGGAATGTGGTGTCGTCAGAACTCAAAGAACCTCATCAGGCAGTGTGCTTTCTGCCTTCTGGTGAGGATGCAAGATGAAACAGTTTTGTCATTTACCTTGGAGGGGACACATCTGTAAGCTGGTAAACACTTGGCACTTCTTCACCCATAAAACATCACTTCAGTGGCCACTTTTTTTTTTTTTGAGATGTAATTTCAATCTTGTTGCACACTCTGGACTGCATTACCGCCACCTTGGCTCACTGCAACCTCTGCCTCTCGGGTTCAAGTGGTTCTCCTGCCTCAGCCTCCCAAGTAGCTGGGATTATAGGCATGTGCCACCACACCCGGATAATTTTGTATTTTTAGCAGAAACAGGGTTTCTCCATGTTGGTCAGGCAGGTCTCCAACTCCCGACTTCAGGTGATCCACCCACCTTGGCCACCCAACGTGCTGGGATTACAGGCATGAGCCACTGCTCTCGGCTGAGTGGCCACTCTTGAAGCTCTGTAAAGTTCGTCTTCACATTCTGGATTGCATGTGTTTTGCCAAGGACTACAGTGCACCTCTTACCTGCTGCTCATCCACCCCAGTCAACAGGAAGTTGTCAATAAAACGAGCTGATTTAATATCCTATATCCAGTGTGGCTAGTACAGTCTTAAGACTATGCTATAGAGGGCAGGGAGTTACAATAGCCCTGACACAAACTATAAATAGATGTTTTGTGGATCCCACATGAATGTGAATCACTCCATATCCACTTTCTAATTGAAGTGGAAAGAATGCACTCACCAGATCCACAGCTACATGCTGTGTGCCCGAGGCTTTATTAATCTGCTCTATCAGTGATATTCAGACAACATAGAAGTTGCAATTATAACTCCTACTTGGCTATACCTGGAGTAATTTCATCCATTCTTTAGACCTCATCAGGCTTCCTTGGGGACGGGTTGCTGAATTACATAGACACAATAGACAGCCTCAACACCACCCCTCATCCTTCAGCTCTCTATTGGTGGTGCAACCCCAAAATACTTGCAGTGTCTTCCACAAGACCCATCTGGGTCACGCTATGATTTTTGATTTGGCCAGATGGGGGCAGTGTCGGGGTTCCCTTGGGCTTTCAGCACATGATTGCCAGATGGGGGCAGTGTCAGAGGTTTCCCTTGGGCTTTCAGCACAATGACAGCCCTTACTCTATAGACTAGGGACTCAGTGTGGGGGTGACTCCACCTAACAGTGCATCAGTGTCAATTATGCACTCAGGGAATTGGAAGATAACGAGGGCTGAGTCTATGGATCCAGTGGTCCCATTGTAGGCCATAATGTGTCCAGGTTTACTCCCTGGCCTCCCTAAGCTGTGATGAGGGACATGATGGTGCTGTGGGCATCTGGGCATCCATGTAGCTCACACCTAGTGTTAATAATCCCCCCAGTTCTGCCTGTTTCCTTTCCCCAGTGTACAGTCTCCTGTGTAAATTACTATAGGTTCCTCTGCCGAATGACTGAGGGAATTGTCCCAGCATATACTTCCGTGGGGTTGCAGGGTCTTTCTCCTAGGGATATGGACTCCTCCTCTGTCACTGAGATCTGAATCTGAATCTGAATCTTGTGGATTCCTCCTCTGTCACTGAGATCTGAATCTGAATCTTGGTTGAGGTCTAGGCATTGAGGATGGGATCGTGACTTTGTATTGGGTCAAACACCTTCACCCTCCTGCTCCTCAGTTCTTTCTTTCTTATCATAGACATCAAGCAGCGCCCTTGTTGGCTACCTGTCCTAACCTTGGGACATCACCCTCTATTAACCTTCCCCACACTACCTGCAGCTCGAGTCCTCTTGGCTGCTCCTCTGAAGTTGCCATAGTAACCGTGCCCTCTGGCTTCTGCAGGTCACTGTCACCACTTGGTCTCTGTCTCTTCAGGGCCACACTCTTCCCAAGGATATTAATAAATGCAACTCTGAGACCATCTTTACTACCATATCCCCAGCCTGCAGAGGACAACACCCCACACTTCTAATGATGCAGGTCCCTCTCACCATCCACGTTCCTGAGGCTCTGGTGGAAAGTGTGTCCTCTGGGCCCTCTTGTAGAGCATAGTCCTGGTGGGCCTTCCCCATGCCCACTTTCCTCAGCCTCGTTATTCCATCACCTACATGTTCCAGAGCAACTAAGACATGTCTACCTTGTTGAGAGTGGGCATCTTTTTTCCAGTTTATATGGATCCATCCCAGCAGTGGAATAACCTCCATTTGTCAAAGTCCTGGGGTGTTTGATAAACCCGTGCCCTGAGAAAGTGCCTCCAAGCCAAATATTTTTATTCATCCAGACTGAAATTCTGGTTCCTTAATCAAAGGCCCTCAAATTCCAATCCCAGAAGTGGTCCCCAGCCTCCTATGGGGATCGTGCTAGCTAGTTCCTGCAAAGCTCCTAAGTGGGATTCCCATGGCATCATAAGGATGAGGCTTCTGTAGCATCTTCCAGCATAAGAAGTGGGAACCATTACTAGAAAAGGGTGAGCTTCCTCTGCACGCCCCGAAGATCCTAGACAGCACCCATCGCATAATCCTATTCCAGTTTGCAGAATCTCAGGTTTCCCCACCAGGGCCCTGACTTTCCTGTAACAGGCCTGCATTGGCTGAGTGTCAAACATCTCTGGAGCACTGTGGCCCTCATAATGACGTCTTCAGCTACCATTCCCATGCTATCTGCCCTTTGTTACAGGAGATAAAGACCTCTCCATGAGATACTGCAGAGGCTGTCACATGTAGCCAGTGACAGCTGTTAACATTCCACAGATTCTCATGATCCTTTCATAGGGCAACAATGCAGCCGAGCAGTAACCAGCCAACTCCCCTGTCTTTGTAGGTTTCCCCCCAACCCCATCCTTATTGTACAGGGCATTCTATCACCACACCTGCCATAGCACCCTCTAACCAGGGCATCTTCTCAGCTCAGCACTGGTGAGACCCACAGCAGCTCACTGCACCTTGTGCCATGGAGTTTCTGTGTCCCCCCACCAACCCGGGTGGCACCCTCTTGACCTGCCAGGCAGTGGGAAAGCTTATTTCAGATTCTCATTTTTGCTGTTTTCATGGATCACCCTTCATGCCACTTGTGTTAGTTAGGGTCCCCTGAGGAGCAGACCCCAATACAGTAGTAAACGTGTAAGGTTTTATTAGGGCAAATACTTGTGAGAGAAATTCATGAGAGAGAAAATGCTGGGAAAGCCATCAGACCACAAAGCAACTCTGAGCCCCAGTGATGTAGAGAGTTCAGGAAGGTCAGTTGGAAGCATCCTAGACCCCGTGCAGGCTAAGGGAAGTTCAGTAAGGGTGGGAGGGAGCCCTGAAGCTTCAGGCAGCCTTCAGAGAAGAAATGTTTCTGCCCTAATTTCTGCCCTGCTTTCCTAGTCATTGACTGGAAAAGACGGGGCAGGTGTGGTCTTAGAGTAAATGTGACAATAGGTTTCAGGATTCAAAAGTTGGGGCCATCACCAATTCTGCTTCCTCTAGCTGAGGGCTGGGATGTGCATTCTCACGACTGCCACAGTGATTCCAGTGGGGAGAGAGGAAAAAGGTTGATGATAAAGAGAAAAAAAGGTATTAATGGATGAACTGACACCTTTAAGTGGATGAGAAGGATGACGTTTGGGGCACCACAAGAGGACTGGCTCTGGCTGGGAGCAGGATGGTTAACCCACAACAGTCCCCCACGTGGTAAAATGCCTGACATGTGATGCACCGCAAATGCATGAGCAGACAGTGGTGGAATCTGGAAGTTGTCTTCTAATGTGTTCAGTTTTCTCAGTGAGGTAGGAACCAAGGTCATCAGCCGACGTAAGAATGGGGAAGGAGGGTTGGATATATGAGCACACAGAGAAGGTGTGTAAGAGTCACCCAGGCCGGAGGAGGCTGGGGTAAGCCATGCAGGGAGAGGGTGATTGCTGGCCGTGGTGGGGCTCCCCATGAGGTCTGGGTCGTGAAGGTACAGAGAGCAGTCAGTGTGCTGTGTGTTGCTCTCCTGCAGCTCAGGGAGCAGGTGCAGGTGGGCAGAGGTAGAATCCACCAGCTGTGTAGTTTTGCCAGGTGAGTGTGACAACTCAAGGGAGAGGCAAGGGAGGGATAGAAATTATTTACCATAGAATTCAAAACGGGTAAGGAGGGAGGAGAGGACACCAAGGGTGAGTAACAGGGAGTAGATGGCAGGATCACTAGATTGGGAATCTCAGTGGGGTGGAAGGATTGTTGGAATTGATGTACTGCAGAATGGACTTCAAGCCTGGAATGCAGGCACATAGGCAATGAGTAGTCACTGATATTACATCACAGCATATGAAAAAAATGATAGTATCTGTGTCCTCAGAGCCTGTGGCCACCTTGCATGGGATGAGTGGAAAGATGGCCAGACGGGGGGAAGTGCGAGATTGAGAGCATGGAAGGGTTGGGGTTTTTAGGCATGGTGAGGCCTAGGGGATGACAAGGGCACGAGATTCAGGGAGAGAGGAGAAGGTCAGGGAAGAGAGGAGTTCCAGGATCTGAGAGGCCAGGGAGAGAGGGCATCTTCTCTGCTGTATGGTGTCTATTGCTGCCATAAAAATTACCACAAACCAAGTGGCTTTAAACAGCACCTAATTATCATGTCACAGTCGTGTCGGTTGCAAGTCCACACAGTCTCACAGGGCTAATATCAACGTACGGGCAGGTCTGCGTTCTTTCCTTGAGACTCTGGGGAAGAATCCACTTCCAAGCTCATTCAGGTTCTTGTCTGAATTCACTTCCTTGCAGATAGAACAGAGGTTTCCACTTCCTTGTTAAGAGCCAACCTTAGAGGGTATCCTTAAAGAAGACAAAAGACAGCCCACTGAACTACACATGACAGTTGTCACCAGAGAAGTTTGGACAGTGTGTGCCCAGAGACCACCTGGTAAGAAGAGGATTCTGCTCCTCTCCAGGCCCAGGTAATAGACCCTCATTCCCAGGAGGAGGCATGGCTACTTTCACACAATGAGGGCAGAAGTGTATGTGGAAACCAGACATCCACCTGGGGCCTTCTGGTTCCCCTTGCCTCATTTTAAGTGTGAGCAGAATCATCCAGCAATTCAGCCCGAGACGACTTGATTTCAAAGGGCCCAGACCGGTCAGGGCAGAAGGTTTGAGTCACACTCCTGGGTAATCTCCCAAGGCCCTGCTCTTGTGCTCTGACACCCTCAGTAGCATTGGTGCTGAGGCCCTGCTTCCCATGGGCTGTTCCCAACCAGTGACGGGTCATATCAGTGACATTAAGGCAGGACATTCCTGGGAGACAGGGGAGTCCTCTGATGACCAACTGTACCTCGAGGACTCCTCTATGGCCTTGCTTAACTCTCCTTAGATTGCCTGTGGTCTAGGACATGTCCAGTAAACCTTCTCTCCTTCTGTCCATCACGGGGGGATCACACTTGCATCTTGGTCTGTTGCCTTTCTCAGGGTAACCTGTCTCCCTCACTATATCTTCTGACAGGTGTGTCCCCTATAAAATGCTGTAACTTTAATCCCATGATGGAACTTGCTTTTTGGAGTATCTGGACTGCAAAATCATTTTCATCTGCACACCACTGTACTCTTACTTATTCCAATTTGTAAAATCCTTTTGCTTATTCAACTACTTCTATCTGCATTGGCACCATTTTGCTGGTATTTGTGTTATGCTTTTGAGTTTGTCAATGTTCATGGCTTTAAGTAAACTTGGGGGTAGTTGGTTACACAGCAACGGATAACTCATGAAGCCCTCTTATATGTCCATTATTCCATAGAGGTTAACTACATCTATTTTATTTCCTCCCATTTTGATAATATTAGCCATACATAGGATTTCTAGTTTCTCATCACCTATTCTTTTCTTTATTTTAGTTTCTTTTCTCCTTTGCTCCTTCCCTTTTTCCTTCCTTCTGTCCCTCCCTCCCTCTTTTTCTTCTCTATTTCCATTCAACCTCTCACCCTCCCTCCTTCTCACTCCCCTTTCCTTCCCTTTCCCCTTCCTTCTTTTCTTCTTTCACTTTTCCTTCCATTCCTCCTTCTTTCCCTCCCTTTCCTCCATTTTTTCCTTTTTCTTATGAAATTTTCCTAAATATAAATAACCCTGTTGATTGTGCTATAAGTAAGCATTTTCTGAATCTATATGCCAAAAGTATAATGCCACGGTATATAAGAAACAAGTAAACAACAGGAAGTTATTAACAGAGTCTGAATGAAAATGCCTGCTGTAATTCTACTGCCAAGACAGTGACTTTTAACTCAATTCCTTCATGCAGTATTTCAGAACACCTCATCAAGTATTACACATTTATTGTAAAAGTTAAATAGCCACAATCACTTTGGAAATCATATTATCATTATCTAGTATGTTAAAGTCCATACAACGTATCATCCAACCAACCCATTCCTAATCATCCACTCTGGGGGGCTTTCTTACCTATGTGCACAGGAGACAGGCACACTAATGTATATGGCAAATAGTGGAATCAGCCACATATACATCAATAGGAAAGTAGTGAAATTGTGGTATAACCATAAAATGTAAACCTTCAGCAGTAAAAAATGAGTGAATGACAGTCTCCCACACCACAGATAACTCCTATATGTAATGTGCATCATGGAAAATAAATGCAGTAGGAATTTGCTTTACAGGAAGCTTAAAAACCAGCAAAACTAACTGATACTTGCTTGGGCTCATAACACACACACACACACACACACACACACACATATACAACACACACACACTTATTGCACAAATCTTTAAAAGAAATACAAAAGAATAAAAATCACAGGTTCAGGATGGAGTCTCCTTCTGGGGAAAGTGAATGGGCAGCAGCCCAGGGGAGCTTTTACAGGTTCTGTGTTTTACACCAGTGCTGGGCACCCTGCTAGTTACTTGATTGTAATTCCTAAACAGAGTTTTCCAAATTAAAATATACCTGTTTTTTATAGAAATGAAAGAGAAAAGAATTTCAAAGTTCACTACAAGGTCCTTAACAAGAACTACTTACATTTGAAGAAAACCACAGAGAACTGCAAGGAGCCACGTGACAGAGAGGACCAGGATGCCATGAAAATGGCCTTGGCTACAAATAGGCCATTTGATCCTTGGCTCACTGGCATCTCTCTAAGGTTTTCAATTATACAATGTTCAATTTGCTGTGCAAGGTAATTCCACCTTGCAAAGGATCTGATGTTACATTTTACCACACATGAAACTGAATTAAACTTTACGGAATTGGAAATGCACATCATCATCAAACAAATGAAACAAGAAAAGAGTAGGAAGGAATACCCAGTGATGGAATAGCAAATATGAATGGAAAACAGAATAGGACTGCTAAAAAGAAAAAAAAAAATTGGAAGCACATAATAGAGTGCTATATGGAATCATAGTGGTGTCCAAATCACTTCTATCACATCTCATTGAATACCACAACAAAAGATGTTAAGTTTATTAAGAATGCCCACCGAATAGCCAGTTTTTGAGGGAAAAAAAAAACTTGTTTCTCCAATTCGAGCTAACCATTCAGGCTACGGCATCAAACCAAAGTTATTGGCATCGTGTTAAGCTAGATGGGCTGAATAAAGTATGAGATTCACGTTTTGTAAGTGAAAAGCGATTTGATTAGGCAATTTTTTTCTAGTGAATGCAACTTTATTAGAGAAGTAAAGAAACAAAAGAACAGCTACTCCATAGAGCAGAGGTTTTTTTTTTTTTGTTTGTTTGTTTGTTTTTTTAAGTGCAGGCAAATGTTTAGTGAAGATGATATTTCAATAAGAAAATTGGTGCTTGGGGCATATTTCCAGTAACTTTGAGACATCTTAGACAAAATGAAGACTTATTTGCAAGGTGTTAGTTTTAAGGGACTGAAGTCTTGGAACTATTTGATCTAGTTACTCTATGTTCTCAACTGTGTTAACTCACTGAAGAGAACATTGTTATTTAATAACAATGGTATTGGCAGGAAAAACTGAGATTCTGTTGTATCTCCTTACCTGTCTCCAACTGTGTTCCCTCAGCACCCAAAGCTCTGTGATGTCTCAAACTTTTAATCATGAATTAAAAAGAGAAGCTTATCATGGAATTTAGAAACAAACTATTTTTAAAATTCATGTGGATCCAAAAAGAGCTTGGATAGCCAGAAGAATCCTAAGCAAAAGAAAAAGCTGGAGGCATCAGGCTACCCGACTTAAAACTATACTACAAGGTCTACAAAAACAGGCACATAAACCAATGGGACAGAATAGAGAACTCAGAAAGAGACTGCACATCTACAACCATTTGATCTTCAACAAACCTGACAAAACAAGCAACGGGAAAGGATTCCCTATTTAATAAATGATGCTGGGAGAACTGGCTAGCCATATGCAGAAATTGAAACTGGACCCCCTCCTTACATTTTACACAAAAGTTAACTCAAGATGGATTAAAGACTTAAACGTAAAAATCCAAAACTAGAAAACCCTGGAAGAAAATCTAGGCAATACCATTCCGACATAGGGATGGCAAAGATTTTATGATGAAATCGCCAAAAGCATCTGCCACAAAAGCAAAACTTGACAAATGGGATCTAATTAAACAAAAGACTTCTGCACAGCAAAAAAAACTATCATCAGAGCAAACAGACATCCTATGGATGGGAGAAAATTTGTGCCAATCTACTCATCTGACAAAGTCTATATTCAGAATCTACAAAGAACTTAAGCAAATTTACACGAAAAAAAACAACTTCATTAAAAAGTGGACAAAGGACCTGAACAGACACTTCTCAGAAGCAGACACACATATGCCCAACAAAAATATGAAAAAAAAGTTAATATCACGGATCATTACAGAAATGCAAATCAAAACCACAAATGAGATACCATCTCATGCAGTCAGAATGGCAATTATTAAAAAGTCAAGAAACAACAGATGCTGGGAGGTTGCGGAGGAACAGGAATGCTTTTACACTGTTAGAGGAAATAAATCCGGTTAATCCATTGTGGAAGACAGTGTGGCATTCCTCAAAGATTTAGAACCAGAAAACCATTTGACCCAGCAAATCCCAATACAGGATATATACCCAAGGAATATAAATCATTCTATTATAAAGATATATGCATGTTTACACTCATTGCAGCACTATTCACAGTGGAATAGTGAAGAGTGAATAGTCTTCAGTGAAGACATGGAATCAACCCAAATGCCCATCAATGATGGACTGGATAAAGAAAATATGGTACATATACACCATGGAATATTATGCAGCCATAAAAAGGAATGAGTCAAGTCCTTTCAAGGATATGGATGAGCTGGAAGCCATTATCCTCAGCAAACTCACACAGGAACAGAAAACCAAACAACACATTTCTCTTTATAATTGGGAACTAAGCAATGAGAACACATGGACACAGCAAGAGAAACAAACACACTGGGCCTGTTGGGAGAGGGCATGGTTGGAGATCAATTAGCAAAAACAGCTAATGCATGCCAGGGTTAATGCCTAGGTGATGAGTTGATAGGTGCAGCAAACCACCATGGCACACATTTACCTATGTAACCAAACCTGCACATCCTGCACAGGTACCGCTGGAACTTAAAATACAATTAAATTAAAAGACAAGCTTAAAGAGTTAATGAAAAATAATTAGATAATAGAAGTCTTTGATTTTGAAAAAACCAGAAACAATAGTTTTAATTTTGCTTTTAACATTATTCAAATCGTTTGATACGTTCCCTTCCAGAGGTACAGCTTAATTCCCCTCTTGAGTGTGGCTTGGACTTAATGAAGGCACTTCTGATATGGACTGGCTCTGTGCTCCCACCCAAATCTCATCTTGAATTGTCATTCGAATTGTAATCCCTACCTGTTGGGGAGGGACCACATGGGAGTGATTGGATCAATGGGGACAGTTCCCCCATCTGTTCTCATGATACTGAGGGAATTCTCATGAGATGTGATGGTTCTATAAGGGGCATTTCCTGCTTCTTCTGCATTTCTCTCTCCTGCCACCATGTGAAGAAGGACATGTTTGCTTCCACTTTCTGCCATGACTCTAGTTTCCTGGGGCAGGCTCCTCAGCAATGCAGAACTGGAGTCAGGTTAAACCTCTTTCCCTTTATAAATCACCCCAATCTCAGGTATTTCCTTATAGCAGTGTGAGAATGGACTAATACAACTTCTAATTATAGAATAATGCTGACATAACAGTTTGTGACGTTGGGTGTAAACATAAAACTCACTGCAGCTTCCACCTTCCTCTCTCTCTCTGTCTCGGATCATAAGCTCTGGGGGAAGCCAGCTGCTGTGCCATAAGCAGCCCTGCAGGAAGGTCCATGTGACTGAGAACTGAGCCTTCTGGGACTAGATAACAAGGAACTAGGCCTTTTCCAACAGCCATGTGATTATCCATCTTTTCTTGAATCCTCAGCCCAGTGAAGCCTCAGATGATGCAGCCCTGACTGACAACTGGACTGCAATCTGTGAGAGGTCCTGAGCAAAGCCACTCAGGAAACTCTCCTGGATTCCTAACCATTTGGAAACTGTGGTGGTGATGAATATTTGTTGTTTTGAGCTAAGTGTTACATAATTTGTTACTCAATCGTAAATAAATAATACATTTTCACAAGAGAGGATGTATTATTACATTTAAATTGCATTTGCTCCAAATGTATCATCATTATCATTATTATTTTCGAGACAAGGTCTCACTCTGTAACCCAGGCTGGAGTGCGGTGGCATGATCACCATGCACTGCAGTGTCGACCTCCTGGGCTCAAGGGACCCTCTGATCTCAGCCTCCTGAGTAGCTGGGACTACAGGCATGAACCACCATGCCTGACTAATTTTCTAAATTTCTGTAGAGATGGGGGTTTTGCCCAGGCTGATCTTGAACTTCTGGAGTCAACAAATCTGCCTTCCTCTGCCTTCCACAGTGCTAGGATAGCAGGCGTGAGCCACCACATATGGCCTAAAGTAATTATAAGATATTAAACATGTAATTTAGTTTTAAAAGGTAAGGAGAATTTCCATGGCCAAAGAGGATGTAGTTTAATATCGTTCACAATGATCACTTTACTTGAACTTCAATTTCCTACTGTGTCGCAATTAAACAGAAAAGGAAGATCCAGCCCTTGCTGGGCTGTTTCTATGATGGCCCCAACAGCCAGCTCCTGGTCATTCACCTTCCCCCAGTGATTCAACCAACTCTATGTAGGTGCTGCTGTGAAGGGATTTAGCAGATATAATTAAGGGGCTCAATTAGTTGACTTTAGGCTGGGTTTCTCCTCCTTGGACTGTTCTAATCAGGTGAGCCCTTGAAAGGACTGGGTTCTTCCTGAGCATAGAGAAACACACTGTGAGAAGGATTCAGCATGAGGGGTTTCCTCCACTGTGGGCTTTGAAAATGAAGAGGCTATGGGTCAGGTGCGGTGGTTCACGCCTGTAATCCCAGTACTTTGGGAGGCTGAGGCAGGCAGATGAAGAGGTCAGGAGATCGAGACCATCCTGAATAACACGGTGAAACCCTGTCTCTACTAAAAATACAAAAAAAAAAAAAAAAAATTAGCCGAGCGTAGTGGCGGGCGCCTGTAGTCTCAGCTACTTGGGAGGGTGAGACAGGAGAATGGTGTGAACCAGGGAGGTGGAGCTTGCAGTGAGCTGAGATTGCACCACTGCACTCCAGCCTGGGCTACAGAGCAAGACTCTGCCAAAAAAAAAAAAAAAAGATGGGGGGCTGTGTAGGAAAGAACACTGGTGAACACCAGGAATTGAGCGCAGCCCTTCACGTTCTCTACGTTGACAACCAGCAATGAACAGGGACTTTAGTCTTACAACTGTAAGAAACTGCATTCTGCCACCTCTCTATAAACCTGAAGGAGGATTCAAAATGAAAACACAGCTTTTGGAAGCCCAGAACAGAGATTCTATCCACATCTTGCCCAGATTTCTGACCAAGGAACTAGAAGTAGATAAATGGGTGTTGTTTTGCCAGGGGTGGTAGTGCATGGATGAATTGATGAATTGATATGCACACTAGTTACATAAAATAAAATCTTTCTGAACTTTTTCAGTGTTTTGCACTTCATAATTATCTGGGATGCATTTAATACACTCATATTTCATTCATTAAGTCAATAAAAATTAATTTAGTGCCTATGATGAACCAGGTATCCCTTCCTATGCTCACCTGCCTGACACTCCAGAAGTTTCACAAGACCGAGGTGGAGACACCAGAGTGTTTTAGGTGGAGAAATGACACACTCTGACTGACAGGAGCAGGACCACTGTGAAGACAACAGTCACGTAGCAGGTCATGGGACAGTGCTAGTGTCACAATTCACAAGTGACAGTGTGGTGGGGACTAAAGGGAGAGGAGGGTCCGAAGGATGAGAGGGACTGAAGGAAGGGCTGGAGAAGCAGGCGCTGACGAAAAGGACCAGAGGAAAGAATTCGAAAACAGCAGAATTCTTAGGTTTCAATACATTGTTTTATGGATTTTAATATATCCATCTACAGAGCCTAGCAGGGTGTCCTTGGCAGTTGGCCTTTAATACCTTATGTGGGTCTGCCTAAAAACTAATTGCTTTTATGTTAATCAGGTTTCAAAAATACTAAGTGTTCCTATAAAATATACACAACACTTAGAAATGGATACTTCCTAAAAACAGGCAGTGCATGAGCACTGGTGAGGGGCATTGTGACTGCATTGAACAGTTGCAACTGTGAGGTGAATATTCTGTACTGTTTGCGGACATATAGTCTGCAAACTATAGGTCTCCTGGTTGCAACATATAGTAACACAGTGTGCTAGTTTATATTGAGGAAATATCCTGGACTCACACAGAAACTCAGAGCTATGGAATGATGGTAAATTTAAAATACGACAAGCGGGAGTCACAGATACATTGTTTGCGAAAGTGAAATTTAGGAGCTTTGTGAGTCCTGTTGTAACGCTTTTGGACACATTTATAAATCAAGGGGCCAAAGTCACATTTTTTACCGATTAGATTCCTGATCATTTGGGGGTTACCAAGATTCTACAACCCAATGTATTTAATAAACAAACAGCAAACTGATCTCTATTCTATCTCATGCACTCAGGCGCAACTTTTCCAGATTTAAAAAAAAAAAAAAAAAAAAAAAAAAAAAAAGTCTCTATACCTTCATTCCCAGAGTAAGCTCAGTCTCTGGCACCGAGCTCCGTGGGGTGAGTTTTCTTCTAGAAGAGTCCAAGGGGACAGGTAAGGAGTGGGAGGCAGGGAGTCCAGTTCAGGGATGGAGATTCCGGGATGAAAAGTGAAGGGAGAGTGACGGGGCCCATGCCCAGGGGTTCTCTCAGACAGCTCCTGGGCCAAGACTCAGGGAGACATTGAGACAGAGCGCTTGGCACAGGAGGAGGGGGTCAGGGCGAAGTCCCAGGGCCCCAGGTGTGGCTCTCAGGGTCTCAGGCCCCGAAGGCGGTGTATGGATTGGGGAGTCCCAGCGTTGGGGATTCCCCATCTCCGCAGTTTCTCTTCTTCTGACAACCTGCGTCGTGTCCTTCTTCCGGAATACTCACGACGCGGACCCCGTTCTCACTCCCATTGGGTGTCGGGTTTCTAGAGACGCCAATCAGCGTCGCCGCGGTCCCGGTTCTAAAGTCCCCACTCACCACCAGGACTCAGATTCTCCGCAGACGCCTAGAATGGCGGTCATGGCGCCCCGAACCCTCCTCCTGGTGCTCTCAGGGGTCCTGGCCCTGACCCAGACCCGGGCGGGTGAGTGCGGGGTCGCGAGGGAAACGGCCTCTGCGGAGCAGCGAGGGCCCGCCCGGCGGGGGCGCAGGACCCGGGGAGCCGCGCGGGGAGGAGGGTCGGGCGGGTCTCAGCCTCTCCTCGCCCCCAGGCTCGCACTCCATGAGGTATTTCTACACCTCCATGTCCCGGCCCGGCCGCGGGCAGCCCCGCTTCATCGCCGTGGGCTACGTGGACGACACGCAGTTCGTGCGGTTCGACAGCGACGCCGAGAGTCCGAGGATGGAGCCGCGGGCGCCGTGGGTGGAGCAGGAGGGGCCGGAGTATTGGGACCGGGAGACACAGAACATGAAGACCGCGACACAGACCTACCGAGGGAACCTGCGGACCCTGCTCCGCTACTACAACCAGAGCGAGGCCGGTGAGTGACCCCGGCCCGGGGCGCAGGTCACGACCCCTCCCATCCCCCACGGACGGCCCGGGTGGCCCCGAGTCTCTGGGTCCCAGATCCACCCACGAGCCCGGGACCCGGGGACCCTTGACCCGGGAGAGCCCCAGGCGCCTTTACCCGATTTCCTTTTTAGTTTGGGCCAAAATCCCCGCGGGTTGGTCGGGGCGGGGCGGGCTCCGGGGACGGGCTGACCGCGGGGGCGGGGCCAGGGTCTCACACCTCCAGAAGATGTACGGCTGCGACCTGGGGCCCGACGGGCGCCTCCTCCGCGGGTATGAACAGTTCGCCTACGACGGCAGGGATTACATCGCCCTGAACGAGGACCTGCGCTCCTGGACGCGCGGACATGGCGGCTCAGAACACCCAGCGGAAGTGGGAGGCGGCGGGTGC